ACTCTCCACAATTTGGCTTTCAGATGAAATTAAAGCAAGATCTATCCATCAAGACTGAGCCACCAAAGAACACAAATATGTCTTTGTAAGCCAAACTGCATTTGGTGCTTGCAATAGACATAGGCAAGGTTAATAGCACCCAGTGTAATGGATATATTTGAAAATAAGGTAAGAAGCATATTTTTTTTTGTAGATGCTACAGCTTTTGGGTGCGTTCCAGGTTAGACCCTCCTGTCATATGCTTGAAATTCGTGGGACAGATCCAGAGTATCCATGCCAGAGGACGTTGCTTCACAAAGCTCTTTGCATGCTAATATTTTGCTTAAACCAAAACTGACTCTTACAATTCTTTGCAAGGCAACTTCAAGGTTTAAGACAAAAACCTGAACAGCTTATAGTACTCCTCAAGTGGTTAAAAAAAAAAATCTCTGTCTCTAAATGACTCTATGACAATATATAAAATCTAATAGAAAATTTGACAGATAGGATTAGTTGTTTATCATTTGCTTTTTGTCTTGTGCTGTTGTTCAGTGGGGGGGGGTTTCTTTCTTGTAGGATACTATTTTTCCCCCAGCTTTCCAACCAGGTTTTAAGATACTTAGGAATCCCTCTTCAGAGTTGTAGTTTACAGGGAAGAAATTCTCGGAGGCTTTTAGCTGATGGGTAGCTAGTTTGTTCTCTACTTCAGCTTCTTGAGGCATTTTGCTTACAGAGTTGACTTCATAATGTATAAGGCAGGGCAGTGTTGCACCTTTTATGGACAGAATAACTTGTTCACAGAAGCGTTATTTCATTATTAGGTCAGATTTTTTCCAAGGAACTCAGCAAATTTAAAACATTTTCTAAGATGAATAGAACTGGTCTGCTGTCATAGGAGAATATTTTCTATTCCATTCAGGAGGATCAAATAAAAAAAACCCCTTTCCAAAACAGCTTGCCAGTATCCTAGCAGAAAATTGACTTGAGTCTGGCTTTCTTTATCTGTCATATGCTTGCTCAGTTCTAAGTCTCTTTGCATATGACAGCTGTACATATAACCTGCAAAACTGTCATGTTTTGGTGGGATACTTGGTATATTTTTCCAGGCTCAAAAAAACCATGCCTGGCCAAAAGCAAAATCTCTGGTGTTAAACAACTTGCAGCAGAAACAATAAGCAGAAGCAACTGAAGTGGAATAGAGAAATCAGTCTTGCTTTCTGTGTTCTCCTTTTGGAAGCTGGCATGAACAATGGAAAGCAGAACATTTTTCTTCTGTTACTATCCCAAACTTGTTTGAACTGATTCAGCAGACACAAAGAAAAGGTGAACTCTATTAGTGAATAATATAGCCAATTGACAGAATCCCAGGGCATCAAGGCTTGAAACATCCTCCTCTGTAGATTACACCATGCTAGTTGAATAACTGCAATTGCATGAAGCAGTTATTGCTTGAAGACATTCACATGCACAGATGGTGCTGCCACACTTGCAACAAGATTTTGTTTTCTCCTTTTAAACGTATTGAAAAGATGCATATAAAAAAAACAAAGCCCATGTTAAGAAGCTCATTTCCAGAAGCAGGAACACTGAGGTTTGAGTTGGAAAAACAGGCACAACTAGACAAATCTGTTGTATCAGTTGTAGAGAAGATCTGAGCAGAGTGTGGGGCCCAGGGCAAATCGGCCTGTATGCAACCTGGACACAAAGAAGCTGACAGCAGATTTGGAGGGGGGGGGGGATGCCAAGCAGCCAGACATGGGGCCCCCCAAATGCGAGGCCCTGGGGTGGTTGCCCCAATTCACGCCCCTTAAGGACGGTTCTGATCAGTTGGAAGTAAAACCCTTAATCTGAAGCTGCTTAAAAGTATTTAGTTTTGTTTCAGTTTCTCTTGTTCAGTATTTAGTTTGTGATATTTAGCTGCAGATAGACAATTTCCATTTTCATAAAATGATTATGGTTATGACCAGGGACCCGGGTTTTCAGTTTCCCATGGAAAAACAGAGAAAAACACAGATTTCCCCCTTTGCCCAAGGAAAATGCAGATTTGTCATTTTTAACGGAGAAACCCATGGATGTTACAGTTTTGCAGAGACCTCTCTGCAGGTTGGCAGAGTTCCAGCCTGCAAGGGGCTGGGGGGAGCGGGAAGAGAGCAGTCAGGCAGGGGGTGCCATGTGCATGCACATGTACATGCACATGGCCCCAAGCAGCCTGGAGAGCAGCTCCTGCAGGTAAGTCGGCAGGGAGGAGGGGCATGGGCAGGGAGAATTGAGGCCCCCCATAGGGAAAGAGGGAGTGAGTTGGGTAACTTGGAGCTCGCAGCAGCAACGAGTTTCTCCGCATGGCCCCACTCTACGGAGGCCCCAGGGGGAGGGCTGCAGGGTGGCCAAGCCCACAGCAGGCAGCCCACTCCTGCCCCTGCCCCACCCACAGATCTGGTGGGGCATTGGTCCCTCCTGTGCTCCCAGGAGCATGTGCAGTGGCAGGGAGCCAGCCCCCCCTGCTCCACGCATGACCCCACAGCAGGCAGGCAGCAGGCAGTGTGGGGGGGGGCCGCCAAGCTCTCCACTCTGCTCTGCTGCAGTAGCTGCTGCCTCCTGCAGGCAGCAGCTAGGGCTTGGGTGCTGTTGTGGGGGGCATAGGGCTGCAGACCAGAGGTCTTGGCTCCATGGCCCCTGCAGCTTGGGGTCCCCTCTTGCAGAGCTAGCAGGGCTGTGGATGGGGGGCGAGGGGCAGTGGCAGGGCCAGAGGCCTGGGGGGCGGGGGAGCACTGGCAGGGCTGGAGGGCTGTGGGTTGGGGGGGAGGAGGGGAGTGAAAGGCACCACCAAGGCTGGGGAGCTGTGGTTTGGGAGTGAGGGGCCTGGACCTGCGTTCTGTGAGCTAAGGGGGAAAGGGAGCTCCGATTTTCCATGATAAAAAACCCAAAATCCAATACCAAAATTTATAGTTATTTAGAGTTTATTTTATTATAGAGATTGAGGCACTGGTAGGCATCCACATTACTTTAAAATTGTAAATATATCAATAAACTATTGTGTTCATCTTATACCTACATATACATATATATA